AGGATGATGCATTTCTCATTTCTTGTGTTTTGGCATGGTGTGTCAGTGTGATTGAAGGCACACACACACACCCACACCCACCCACCCCAACACACACACACACAGGTGGCAGTAGGCCTCCTTCCTTTTTATCTCCACTCTCCTTTATCCATCTATTCTCCTACCTTCCCTACATATTACTCTAGGCCTGTTCAATCTATAGATTTGAGCTGGGGAAACCTTTCTGAAGTTATGCTTCTGTTGGTAAAAAGAATTGAAGATTTGATATGAAGATATGAAGATTCTTTAAATTATGTGAATAAACATCAAGAGTCTAGAATTCAACACCAGTCTCCTGTTTACTGAAACATCTATGGCGAATTTCTAACAACTTGGTGCAGTGACCCGGATCTCACACTAACACCTTCATGGTGAGGTATGACATTAGTATGACATTTAGTTGTGAAACTAAAGAAAAGGTTGGCTGGGTTCCTTTCATTGTAAGTTAGTAGAGAAGGAGCGAGTATAAGAGATATTCCCTCAGGGTTTGAAGACTGGTTGTTTTTGTTGTATTTTTACTGTTTGTACCCAGGTTTGTTATCCTGTTACCTCGTCTTGACCACTGAAGGAATAGGAATTCATTCAATGAATCCTAACTAATAAACAATAAAGTTAGTTAAGGGAGTTAGTAATTTACAGTCCCCTCTGAAAGTATTCAAGTATTCGAAAGATGAATATGAGACGATAGATCAGAATTTCAGCTTTTATTTCCGAATATTTACATCTAGATGTGTTAAATAAACTGTCTTTGTGGAGTTTCTGTGCATGTTGTTCTTGTGTCTACATGAGTTTCCTCCAGATTCTCTGGTTCCTTCCCATTGTCAGTTTGCAGAGGGGTATGAAATATTGCTTTTATGTGTGTCTGACTGGTGTCCCAACCCATTGTGTATTCCCTTGTACTCAGTATTCCCAGGATAGGCTCCAGATCCACCACAATCCTGATCAGGATACTGAAGTGGTTACTGAAGATGAATGAATGAATGATTATAAAAATGATAACAGATAAACAGGCACATTATTAATACAGACACAATTAAAGGAATAATACACACACTGATTATGTCCCATTGTGTCCTCTGATTCTACCTTAAACAGGGTAACAATATTAATGTGCCTGAGGCTATAGCACCCATTAAATAATAGCTAAATAAAACAGATGTGAACTACCCCTAGCTAAAAAGTATGAACACCGGATGGCCATCCATCACAGGAAGGGGTGGGATGGGTTCGGGGGTGGTTGGGGATTTAATAGCATTGAAGATCTTGGCTTCTGCTGCTTTTTGACATTTCAAACATTGCAAATTCACCGCTAGCCATGTCTGGCAATAAAAAGTGAATTTTAATAGCTTGCAGGATTCATTGGTAAAAGTTAAATTCATTGAGGTCCTATGACTGAGCCTTGACCCTTCTGTAGTAATTAGACTGAAAGCATTTTTTTCCATCTACACACTGAAGCACAAAAATAAAAGCAAGTCAGATGGTCAAATTGCCTGTTTTATTTCAACTGTTCATTACTGTGTTTCCTATGTAATTCACTGTCTGTCAAAGACAATATGGTTATTCAACATCTATTATTTGCAATTAGAATAGATTAGGAATTGTAAATGTAGTAATGAGTTGTTCATGCTGTCCTGAGCAGTGAATCAGAACTTCCAAAGTTACAAATTTACTTAACTTGCTTAAATGTGCTTAAATGAGCTGTTCTGAAGAGCTAAATCAAGCATTATACCAATTACCCTTCAATATAGAATACAATTAAGGGCATACAGTGCATTCCGAAAGCATTCAGAGCCCTTCATTCTTTCCCATTTTGTTAAGCTGCAGCCTTATGCTAAAATGCTTTAATTTTTTCCACATCAATCTACACTCCATACTCCATAATGACAAAGGAAAAAACAGATTTGTGATAAATTTATTAAAACCCCTGTAAATATCACGTTGAAAACCTTTTGCTATGATACTTCAGATTTAGCTCAGCTGCATCCCATTTCTTTGGATCATCTTTGAGATGTGTCTACACTTTGAGTGGAGTCCACCTGTGGCAAATTCAATTGATTGGACATGATTTAGAAAGGCACACACCTGTCTATATAAGGTCAAACAGAGGATGTGCAGAGGATTGTGTCGAGGCACAGATCTGGGGAAGGCTAATTCCCTAGAGCACAGTAGCCTCCATAATTCTTAAATGGAATAAGTTTGGAACAACCAGGACTCTTCCTAGAGCTGGCTGCCCAGCCAAACTGAGCAATTGGGGAGAAAGGCCTTGGTAAGAGAGGTGACCAAGAACCAGAAGGTCAACCATCACTGCACCACTCCACCGATCTGGACTTTATGGCAGAGTGGCCAGAGGGAAGCCTCTGCTCTATGCAAGACACATGAAAGACCACTTGGAATTTGACTGTGACTGTGAGAAACAAAATTCTCTAGTCTGAAGAAATTAAGATTGAACTGTTTGGCCTCAATTCCAAGCATCGTGCCTGAAGGAAACCAGGTACGGCTCATCATCTGGCAAATATCATCCTAATGGTGAAGCATGGTAGTGGTAGCATCATGCTGTGGGGGTGTTTTTCAGCATCAGGGACTGGGGCATTTCTTCAGGATAGAAGGAAAGCTGAACAGAGCAAAATACAAAGATATCCTTAAGGAAAACCTGTTCCAGAGTGCTCAGGACCTCAGACTGGGCCAAAGGTTCACCTTTCAACAGGACAATGACCCTTATCACACAGCCAAGAAAAAACAAGAGTGGCTTAGAGACAACTCTGTGAATGTCCTTGAGTGGCCCAGCAAAGCCCAGACTTGAACCCAATCGAACATCTCTGGAGAGACCTGAAAATGGCTGTCCACCGACGGTCCCCATCCAACCTGACAGAGCTTAAGAGGATCTGCAGAGAAGAATAGCAGAAAATCCCTAAATCCAGGTGTGCAAAGCTTGTCTCATCATACCCAAAATGACTTGAGGCTGTAATTGCTGCCAAAGGTGCTTCAACTAAGTACTGAGTTAGGGGGCTGAATGCTTCTGTCACTGTGATATTTCAGTTTTTTATTTTTAATAAATTTGCAAAGTTATCACAAATCTGGTTTTTGCTTTGTCATTATGGGGTATGGAGTGTAGATTGATATGAAAAAAAAAAAATCATTTAAAGCATTTTAGTATAAGGCTACAACATAACAAAATGTGAAAAATGAAGGGATCTGAATACTTTCTGAATGCACTGTATGTTTGCACTCTCCAAAGACAACGCGATGACTTAAAAATATGAATAATAACAAAATGATATCAGTCAAAAGTTTCCATCTTCTTGTGATAGGAATTTCTCTAATAACTGGTATGCATCACCCCTTTGCTTTCTTGTATCCCCTGAACAGCTGTTCTGAACAGGATCCTGGCCTTTTTACACACACCCATTTTCTTCTGGTCACATCCTTTATAACTCCGCCCCATGCTGCCTTCTTCAGATCAGGTCAGAAGACTGAGAGGACCACTGCAAAATTTCTTTTCAAACAATTCTTTTCTGACAATTTTTGCCTTCAGTTTTGGATGGTTGTTTGATGATGCAAGACCCACCCATTTGTGATATCTTCTGGCAGAAAAATTGTAAAACAGGTGTACATTTTCTTTTGCACCCAGAAACGTTTCTAGGTGTTTCTAGAAATGTTTCTACTTGACAAACTCAGACCCTCATAAATCGTCCTTACAGCACGTGTTTGCAGCAGGTCACTCTATATGTTTTCTCGTAGGGCTAATGGAATGTGCATATTCATCAGCAGCCCCTTGCATAATGCAAGAGAATGAGAGTATGAGGTGTTGGTGGCTCTGTTAATGCTCTATTGAGCCTCGCAGACTTATTAGAAGAAGAGCGGGAACACACAGATTACAGGGTAGTTAATCATGACTGTAATGTCCTCCTGTATTTCAGCCAGGTTAATGGAATCCGTGTGCGCTCTCGCAGCATTAGGTGAAGATGTTTCATGATTCACTGTCTGCAAATGATAAATGTTAAGGCTCATTGAGTAATAAGGTGGTTGTCTTACAGAGGAAACCTGTGGATTAGCCTTTACTCACACACTGCCAGTCATAAGTGTTTGGACAGCCTATATTTTAGTCTTTTTTTTTAATGACCTTATTTTAAATACTCAAAAATGTACAAATTTAAGGTCTATGTACTGTATACAATACTTGGGGCATGCTGTTATAGGAAAATAACCAATGAGATGATGGATACAGCCCAATTTAAATCAATGCTGTTATCACCTCAATTTTGATTATTTTCCATAACAGCACAACCTAAAGTATTTTATTCTCATTATACCACAGTAAGTCACCAACAATCACAATTTTTTAAATTTATTAATGAATGAAATGAGTGAGGTTTTCTTTTTTAATATCTATTTACAGTATACTCACGACCCTGTGTAGGATAAACGGCACAGAAAATGGATGGATGGATGGATTTGCAGTATAGTTACATTTACAACATGTTAAAAATCCATTAAACAAGTTACTTAATGTTATGCCTACATTACAGAAGCTATAAACGGTTATTCCCTCACCAGCTTCTCTTTTTCACTCTCTTGAAATTAACTGAGAAAGTGAGAAATTTTAGACATTTAAAAAAAAAAAAATGCTTAATCTAAATCTAATCAGAAAAGTCCAAAATCTGTATATTGCCCAATTATGTACTTGTAGCAGTCCACCTACATTTAATACTAGCACTGTCTATGAATCTTTTATCTATAGGCTTAATGGGTTTATCGTCCAAGTGAGTCTCATTATGATCTGAGTGTGACCAGTTCCACATTTAGGTTTGCTTATATAATTATTCTGCATCATTTTGCTTGGTCTGTGGCAATAAAACGTAATAACACATAAAAAAAAATATCCTCCAGATATTTAAAAACCTTTGATGACGTTGTACCCGATTTACTTAATATGTTAGATTCACAAATTAGAAGTAACTTGGGGCAGTGGTAGCTCAGTGGTTAAGACCTTGGGCTACTGACTGAAAGGTGGTTAAGTTCAAATCTCAGCACTGCCAAGATGTATCTATCTATAGAAGTGTACCTTTGATCACCTATAGGTGGTGCTGTCTCTGTGTGCTGAGCAAATATCTGTATCTCTCCCATACAAATATGTGTTGATTTACCATAATGTAGAGCCAGAATTTAATTCATGAGGATTTGTGTTTTTCTTTGAAAAGGAACAGCATCCTGTTCACACACCCACCTCATGGGGACTAAAGCCATCACGAAGTCCTCATTCTCATAAAGGAAGTGGATTGAAACATAAGAGATGTAATTCATGTGCACTTGAAGGTTGACTTCTGTCCTCATAGTGTCATATTCTTGTTGATCATTTTGATTTGGATAGATTTTACAATTGGTGGACGATATACGGCCAGCTCTTCCTGTCTCGAAAGGCTCTTTCTCTAAATGGCTGCCATTCTTTTAATGGCCTTTGCCATTATTTTTTGTGAACAGTTTATAGGCTTTTACGATATGAAGACAAACAACACACACAGTATCAGAAAATCAATATGAATATGGCACCTCCCAGGGGATGGAAGAAAAAACAGAGGGGAGTGCATCAAACATGATCATTCCCAGCGGGTGCCATTTAACCAGTGATCTGAAGTATGCAATTTATTCCGAAGTTAAATTAAACAAATTTTTCTCTAGCTATAGAATTGGGATGATTCTCTGGTCCTTGGCTAGAGTCCACAGATTTATGTGGCAGTCAGACACACATGAACCCAAGTAAACACACATGACATCGTCTAAATAATATACACTGATCAGCCATAATATTAAAACTACGTGCCTAATATTGTGTAGGTCCCGCTTGTGCTGCCCAAACAGCTCGGACCCGTCGAAGCGTGGACTCCACAAGACCTCTGAAGGTGTGCTGTGGTATCTGGCACCAAGACGTTAGCGGCAGATCCTTTGAGTCCTGTAAGTTGCGGATGGATCGGACTTGTTTGTCCAGCACATCTCACAGACGCTCAAGTGGATTGAGATCTGGGGAATTTGGAGGCCAAGTCAACACCGTGAACTCTTTGTCATATTCCTCAAACCATTCTCGAACAATTTTTTCTGTGTGGCAGGGCACATTATCCTGCTGAAAGAGGCCACTGCCATTAAGGAATACAATTGCCATGAAGGGGTGTACTTGGTCTGCAACAATGTTTCGGTAGGTGGTACGTGTCAAAGTAACATCCAAATGAAACATTGCCCAGAGCATCACACTGCCTCTGCCGGCTTGCCTTCTTCTTGTCCCTTGTCAAAGTCTCTCAGATCCTTACACTTGCCCATTTATCTTGCTTCCTGTCTTCAACTTTGAGAACTGACTGTTCACTTGCTGCCTAATATATGCCACCCCTTGACAAGTGTCATTGTAATGAGATAATTAATGTTATTCACTTCACCTGTCAGTGGTTTTAATGTTATGGCTGATCAGTGTATGATAAATAAAATATAAGCTTATTAGGTTTAATTTTTGTGAAAATGAATTAATCACGTAAAAAAAAGTCACATATGGAAATATTAATCATTTGTTTAAAAAAATCATCATTCAAAAATGTAAAAATAAATTAACCGGTGAAAATCATATGTGAAAACAAATCATGTCTAAAAAAAAAAAATCACACGTGAAAGTTAATGAATCATTTGTAAAAACCATATGTGGAAAAATTAATTATTTGTAAAAAAAAAAAAAAAAAAAAAAAAAAAAAAAAAAAAAAAAAAAAAAAAAAAAAAAAAAAATAAAAAAAAAAAAAAAAAAAAAAAAAAATAAAAAAAAAAAAAAAAAAAAAAAAAAAATATATATATATATATATATATATATATATATATATATATATATATATATATATATATATATATATTCACCAATGAAAAGAAATGAATCATGTGGAAAAAAAGTCCACATGTGAAAATGTGTGAAACTCAGCAGATGAATGTGTAAATTTGAATGTGTAAAGTTACATAACTGGAGACAGCTTAGTAAATTTGGTTTGGCATCAATACATTTGGTATTAATTTATTTTGCTAAAACTGGAATATTTATTTCTGTTTTTAAAAGAATGAAAATATTAAATGTGTCTAAATGTGTCTAACCCATTTATATTTGTTTTGCTTCGGCGTCTCCTAGTAACTGGTAATGTGTTCAGTTCAGTAGCATGTTATAAGCTGGATAATGTGTGAAGCTGTTAGTCTGTGATATTAAGTTGTGTTCCCCAAACATTCCTTTTTTTTATTGACAACATAAAAATGGTGAAATATTGTGTAAAGATGTGAAATCACTACTCAGGGTTCATACAGATGCTTTCAAGGACTTTTATACACTTTATTTGGCTTTGAAGGACTCTACAATCGATTCCATGTCATTTGCTGAACAAGTTTTTTCCCCCTCCGTCTCATACTTAACTCTTACAACAGACATAATAGGTTGTTTTTTTCCCCCTCAATATGTCAGCTGTAATGAGAGCCATTTCCCAGTGAAACTGGATTTAACCTGCATTTTCCAGGCGTCACAAATTATTTCGACATTCAGTCAGTTAAGATAAGCTAGTGCAACGTGGGCATTTTTGGAGGTATGGTGGATTAGAGGATGCTCTAAAGTACTGGGTTTGAGGTGGGATCCACCCTGGATGGAACGCTAATCCATGCGTGCACACACACACACACACATACACACACAGACACACACTTTCATTCCAAAATATAGTGTTTTTTCCAAAATCAAACAATTAATAAATGAATACATTTAGAACTTGTTACATATTAAATTTCTTCGTTGACGTCACACTTTTTCTCAAAAAAGAGAATTTCTCCACAATTTCCAGCAGTTAGATTTGAAAAAAAGCTTAGTTCAAATGCATGCGTGAATTCAATCAAGTCAAAGTCTTTGTCTAGTTTTTATTCATTCATTCATTTGTCTACAGTAATTGCTTTATGGTCAGAGTTGCAGTGGTTATGGAGCATATCCTGGAAACACTGTGTGCAAGGTGATAGAATTCACCACGGATGGGACGTGCCAGTCAAACTACTGGCATGTTTTTGGACGATGCGAGGAAACCAGAGAACCCAAAGGATTCCTATGCAAACATGGGGAGAATATATGAAGGTACTCCTAGAAAAGGATTACAGGATCACATAGAAAGTACACAAACCAAACTCAGGATTGAACCCTGGAGCTGTGAGGCAGCAACACTACCCACTATGCCACAGTGCCACCCTTCGTCATGTTTTGTGAAATAAAAATAAAAATAAGTGTATTACTATGATTTCAATTAGGGTGTACTGTATTCCCTGGTATAAGCCTGGTTAGAAGCTCCCACTCCAGACTGTAGTGAGTAGGCACAGACACTATTTCAGGCGATCCACTTTTGGTCCGTCTGAAATCATTTCCTTTGCACAGAGTGAGATGATGCATTTAGTAACTCTCTCATTACCAGCAAACCAGATTCATGTGCGTCCCGCAGGCAACAAAAAGCCTTTCACTTTCCTTCCAATTAAGCCTTAGGATTGAGTTTGTTGCTATTGGAGAATCTAATCGTAGACGATGAATAGCTGCTTGTGTGGAAATGGGGTGTCGTGTCTGCGCTGAGCCTCATCTCTGAAACGTCAGTTGTATGCAATTTACAAATCGAAAGGGTAATGGGTAAATGGGATGTTATCTTTTGATACACAACTGGCATGAAACATTTTCTGGAACACTCTGAGGAATGCATCGGATCAGCTATCCAAAATGGATTATGTGCCTTTTTCTGTGATTCACAGTGCTCACACTAAATTGGTCACCATGTGATGTTATTCATGGATTCATGCCTGCCTTATAATGTGGTAATACATGTTGAATTCTTGAAATTGTTTGGGCAGAAGGTGTTAATTATTTTCTAAATCAGCAGCTCTGACATTTGTCTTTCAGCTGGAACTACTAACAGGTTTATACTAATGCACTAATTCTAATACATTATTATTTCTATAGTAACAACTAACACAGGGATTTATATGGTGGATGCACCATATAATCTAATCCTAACCTAATCTAGGGTTAGGGTTAGGGTTAGGTGATTGCTATGGTGAAGTATTCTGTAAAAAGATGTTTAACATTTATGGAAGGAGTCTTCAGTGTCAGCACTTTGACACTGCACATACAGTTTTCTGACACAGGAATGTCTTCAAGACAGAGGACTTTGCTCTTTCTCTGTAACATGACAAGATGTGTTTTTGTCTTATTAACATAGAGAGAGAGAGAGAGAGAGAGAGAGAGAGCCTGGTGCAGGAACAATTGCTGATTGATGATGATCTGATAACATTAGAATGCATTGCTAATGATTCAGTGCATATTGTAGACCCTTGTGTTGGTGTTCTTTTACAAGATTTAGTAGCTAGCAAGAAGTTAATTGATAAATGATGTACATCTGTTAATGTTGTAAGCTATTGTAAGCTTACAAGAGTATATTGTAAGCTAGTGATCATGTTTTGGTTTAACGATTAATCTGAGATGCAGTTCAATTTGATCCGTGATGATGTCTTTGGTCATTGCCATTAACTTAACAGGCTACATGAAGGTTGAACCACTATTTGTAGCTTTGTTGTAGCCATAAGACATAAGATTTAAGACATAAGATTCAAAATCTTTTTAGTACATGACACCACAAAATAATTAACTTTTGACATAATTGCTAGGCCTCTGGGAACATTCCTGATCCTGGAATGGTACTCCTGCCCTGTGTATCCTCTGTCCTTTGAAATGACACGAGCTGTTGGCTGTGTTCCTGCACATTTCCTCTATCATGCATTGTGCGGGGATTTCAGACATGTTCATGCAGCGGCTCGCTTCATGCTCTGATCCACTCTCACACTTCCATTCTTCTCAGCAGTCAATAGATTTGTCAGCATTAATAATTTCAAGGGACCCATTTCTTTGACTCATCAGTAATGTCTGCATAGTGACTGCAGTGAATCTATCACACAATAAAAGAAGGGAAAAAAACCGTTGCCCTGGTGATTCCTGTGACATCTGTCAGATTTG